TGCAGTGGAAAGAGCACTGGATTTGGGTTTAGAGAATTTAATTTTAATCCTCAGTCACTTAATAAAGTTTATGGATTAGTTGACTGACTGATGAAGCCAAGAGCTGAATTACCATCTCCTGCCTCTTTTCCACCCATAGTGACCTCATAAGATGCCCTAGTTTTTACACAAAATGAGGGAAATTAGAATTCCTCTTTATCCTATATATAGTCTGTTTATATATCTGTATCTGTGTGTGTGTGTGTGTGTATACACATACATGCATACATACATATATATGTTTGTTGTCTCACCCATTAGATTGTGATCGCTTTGAGGGCAGAGACTGACTTTTACCTCTTTTTCTGCCATGCCTAGTTAAGAAGTGTGTTATTGATCTGTTTGCTTGTATGATCTTGGAGAAGAAATTTAACTTTTTTGTGCCTTAGTTTCTTTATGTATAAAAGGGAGATAAAATATCTGTAATATCTACCTCACACATCTCTTGGGGGATTAAATGAGATTATAAATAGAAAGTGTCTTGTTAACTATAAAGACCTATGTGAATATCCCATATTATTTTTGTTATCATGTTGGCTCAGGCAGCATATAGCTTCAAATGCTGAGGTACATTGAGCTTTATTCTATAGGTATTAGGGAACAATCAGACTTTTTAAGGGATATATGTTGTGAGGGTATTGGGGAGAGTTTAACTTGATGAAATTGATTTTTTTCATACATTTCATTTTGATGCAAGATAATTCTCAAGAAACAACCAGATATTCCCTCATAGTACAGTCCCTTGAAAAAATTAGCCAAAACAATTACTGGCTTGATTATTATTGACAATAAATGGAATTTTCTTGTTTATCTTGCCAGCTGTTAAGAGGTAGGATATATATTTTTATCTTTGAAAGTATATCACTGATATCATCTGTTATATTCAACTTGAGTTCTCATATTCTTTGTTTTTTGTTTTTTTAAGTGTTATCTTTAATTATATCATTGTAGTCTTTGTGGCTATTCTGATGGGTCTTTTGTTTACTCTGTCCTTTCAAATAAGGCTTTTTCCATGTTTTCCTGAAGTCTTCATAATCATGATTCTTTGTATTGTACTAATATTTCATTATATTCATATGCTAAAGTTTATTTGGCCATTCCCATCATTGGGCACATTATGTTTCCATCTTTTACCATAAATAATTAATATATTTCTCCTAAAATATTTCACATACATCACAATTTGAGTATTGTCCTACATGTGATTCCTTTCAGGAGGAAGTATGGCAGGGCAAAAATGTTGAAATCAGAGGACTGAGGTTCAGGCCTTGCTTTTATCGCTTACTATCTGTATTACCTTGTATACTGGTTATTGCTGCCCATCATTTACATATGCATACACATGTACCCCTGAAGAGCAACTGGATGGTGCAGTGAGTAGAGCGCTGGGCCTGGAGTCAGGAAGACTTATCTTACTGAGTTCACATCTGCCTTAAACTTTTACTAGCAGTCTGACCTTGGGCAAGTCCCTTATCCTGTTTACCTCAGTTTCCTCATCTGCAGAATGAGCTGGAGAAAGAAATGGCAAAACACTCCAGTGGAGTGACTCCAAATGGAGTCAGAAAGAGTCAGACATGGCTGAAAACAACTGAGCAACAACCCCCCCCCCCAATCTCCTCTTCGGGCTTCAGTTTTCTTATTTATATAATGAAGACTTGATGTCCTAAAAAGTTGCTGTTGTTAACCACCTTGGAATCACAGGGCATGAACCATTTAATAACTTACCTTCTGTAAGTCCAAATTTTTTGCTAGAATGATTACAATTCAGCCAGCAGTGAGTTAGCATACCTGTTTTCTCAGAGCCCCTCCATCACTGAATTTTGCCATCTCTTGCCATTTTTGCTAACCTAATGTGTATGACAGTGATACCTTAGAGTTGTTTTTTGTTTGTATGTTTAATTATTAGTGATTTTTAAATTTTTTTCTGATAGCTGTTCATAGTTTACAGTTATTTTAAAAATTATTCATGTCCTTCAATCACTTGTTTATCAGGCAGACTTCTGTCAATTCCATATAGATTTTGGTCCACAGACATATCAGATATTCAATACAGAAATTTCCCCCAATGCAGACCCTTTCTTTTTATTCTAGCTGCGTTGATTTTATTTATATAAAGGCTTTTAATTTTACAAAATAAAAACAATTCCTTTCAAAAAAAATACTTTCTACACAATTGGTGCTTTAGGAGGATTAATCTTAAAGTGGTATGCAGTATGGGTTGGCAGTGGGGGACTAACTGGAGATGGGAAAGCCTGTTGTTAGAAGCCTCTTGTATAAGAGCCTGAACTGGGGTTCTGATTATTGGAATGAAAAGCAAGGCATGGTTTGGAGAGATATTTTGAAAGAAAAATAGACAGGACTTTGTGACTGATTTAGTTAGGAAAAGTGAATAGAACAGGACAGAATTCTAGATGGGTGTGAGTTTGAGCCTAGGTTTCTTGGAGAATTATCCTGCTGTTAAAACAACAGCTATGTTTGTGGTGAGCTCTTTGAGGTCCTTTTCTTTTATCCCACCCAGGGCTAAACACACAATTGGTATTCAGTTTAATCTTGCTGATTTCAGAAGACAGTCAGTTTTGATGACAGGGTATAAGTTGCCTTAAAACTAGCTTTACCTCCTTCTCTCAGGTGTTGCTCCCTCTCATAATTTTCCTTCCTTCACATTTTTTTTCCTGCAGCTTTATTGTGTTCTTTGCTTGGTGTAGGTGCCCTACCCTCCCTCCCAACTGAATATGAATTATGTTGAAAGTGGAAGTAATTTCTACCTCTATAAGGGAGTAACCTGAAGATTGGGATAATGGTGTTTGAGGTTGGTTCAGTTTTATAACCAAAGACCAAGCCTACTTTCTTAGTTCTAGGTTAGCCTAGCACAGATATGTGGGGTCTTGAATAAACTAATTAATGAGAAAACATTTAACTGCTTACTGTGTGAGATGGCCTGTTCTAAATAAGGGGAATACAAATACAAAGCACATTTCCTGCCCTCAAGATTCTTATTAGAGACCTCACCCTGGGGAAAAGGTGGCTAGGGACAGGTGTTTTGGTCTGGGAAGTTACTGGGGAATGGAGTACAAAGTGATAGGATTAGTTGATTGACATACCATATCCAGCAGCAAAGGTCATGTTACCTGATCATAGTTTTCAAAACATGAGATGTAAAATGGGTGCAGGGTAGGGGATGACCAGGGTGAGGAAACTTGTTCCAGGGGAGTTTCAGAGCCAGTCAGGATGGGGGTGGGGGTGGAGAGAAGCTTAGAGTAACAAAGTGCTGGACATATAAAGGGGAGGGGGAGGAAAAAGTCATTTCAAAGAGCTTAACATCTTTTTGGAGAAATATACATATGTATATGGACAAGTAAATACAACTTACATAGAAAGTTATTTCAACTGGGAAATCTCTGGGACAAGTGAGGAAATTGGGAAAGACTTCCAGACCTGGGAATCGTGGTTGGAGTTGGTTCGAAGTGGTTTTCTTTCTGACCAGATCGGAGATGCAGTGGTACTGTTTTCCACTAGGCTAATATTATTCACAAGTGGAGCAATATTTTAGCTTGCTCATTTAGGGAAACTTCCCCACTTCAAAGGGTGAATAAAGGCCCATCACAAATTAGGACGATCCTTTCCCCGAAGCACCTGTGCGGGGATAGGGCTTTTTTTCCCTCCTCTCTTATAAGGGGAAACTGAGGCCGAAGTGGCAGTTATGAAGAGAACTGACTTTCATCCCAGTGCCACATTCCCTGGTGACTACATTTGACTCCTCATTTCTTGCAGTGTTTTCCGGAGGGAAGCTACATCCAGGGATAGCTTTCCCCTCCGGTAGTGAATTGGATTAGGATGGGGCTGGGGGATCCAGGCCACCTTTTGCAGGGAGCTGGTTGACTGTCTTGGAGCAGCCCAGCCCAGCCCTGCCCAGCCCTGCCCAGCCGGGATCACATGCTAAGCAGCCGCTGCCGCCACCTCCAAGCCTCCTCCTCCCCTTTCCTCCTCTTCCTCCCTCCCCTTTGTAGTGTCAGAGCCCCTAGTGACAAGCGGGTTTGGTTTACCACCGCAGTGGCGGTGGTGGCGACGGCTGCTCCCCACGTCTGGAGACTTGTGTAGGGCACCTGGCTGGGCTTACCTGTGGCTGGGGGAGGGGGAGGTTTGGAGGGAGGGGTACGGGCATTCTTCCTCTCTCTCGCTCTCCTGCCATCCCTCCCTCTCTTCCGTCCTCCCTCCCTCTTTCCAGTTGCTGCCTGCAAAAGATGGGAAACGCTCCAGGAGAGGTGCAGCCCTTGCTTGCCCCCTCTCCTCACCCTGCATGGACCCTCCAGGACCCGGCCTGAGGGAGAGAGGGCTGGGCTGCTCTGGGAAGGGGAAAAGAATGGGGCTCTCGGGGGCAGCCCCCAGGCCCTGCAGGGAGGCCCGGGAGCTGCCCAGGGCAGCTTTCCTGGGCTGAGTTCCTCTCCAGCTCTAGGAAGCCCAGCTGGAGGAAAGTCCCCGGACTGCCGATCTGCCCGGACCTCCTACTCCTTCGCCCTGGAAGAAGACCCCCTCTTCATGGGAAGCAGCTCGCTTCCGCTTTGCTTTGATGAAACGCGGAGAGTGTTTGTGCTGCTGACCCCACTGAGAAACAAACGCGAGCTCGCGGGCTCTAGCCGGGCCCTGGCCGGACAGATTGTAGGGAGCTGCAAACGCCCCAAGTTTCTTCCCGAAACGCCAGTGCCTGATCTTGTTTGTGAGCCATTGCTGGTGTTGGGACGAAGGCTTTCCTGACCCCCCCCCTTTCGGTGCTGGTTGGTCTCAGTCCCTGGAGGAGGAGGGACCCTGCTGTGACCCAGCTTCCCTAGCTAGCCCGAAACCTTTATTCATTTTATTGTGCTGAGTAAAAGGATATTTGCTTTGCTGACCTGTTTTAATTTTTGTTGTTGCTTTTATTCTTATTTTTAAAAATTTTTACATCCCATTTGTTTCTTTTAACGCAGAAACGCTTCATTAAGGGGCTCCGACAGTACGGCAAGAACTTCTTTAGGATCCGAAAGGAGCTGCTTCCCAATAAGGAAACGGTGAGTGAGAGTACCAAGGAGCTCGGCACAGGGAGGGGGGGCGCTTAGGGGAGCTGGGGGGGGGCTGGTTTGGAGCGCCGGGGGCGGAGGGAGAGTGGTCCGCCGTGGGTGGGGGGAGGGGAAGGGAGGACTTAAGGGGAATGGCTCGGCGTGCAGGAATGGGGGAGAGGCTCAGGGCTCGGTGTTCCGTGAAGCTGGGGATTGGGGGGGTGGCTCGGCTCCCAAGGCTGTGTGCCTCTACTCTCCTGCTGCCTTTCACCCTTGGATTGGACTAATAAATTGTTTCCCTTAACCCTGGACTGTGTTTAGAGCAGGCCACCGGAAAAAAGAGAGCTCTTGCTAGCATAATTATTCTCCTTTTTAAAAAATCAACTTTTGAGTTTATATCATAAGCCTAGGCAGCAAGTGGTTTAATAAAAGGAATCAATACTTACGACCTTGAAGAAAATAGTTATTTTGTAATCATAAGAAGTGGCCTTTGGGAAGGAGAGGGCTAGTGAGCTTGTGGAATTCAGATCTAATTTTAAATAAAGTCGATGAGGTAGGATAATTCACATATATCACTGTTTAAATTTGGTAATTAGCAAAAGCCTAAAACAAAACAAAACAAATTATAAATACGTGTTCATTTCTGCTAGTTATTGCTGGTTTTTCTATGAAATGTTGCCCTGGTTTGGGGAGTTCTTTTAACTCTTTAGCATCCCTATCTGGAAAGACTGTTCTTTCCATCAGATTTTGCCTTAGAATTTCACAAAGCTGGGGATCAGTTCACCTCCCATTCCTGTCAAACATTGAGGTAGGAGGGCTTGTTGGGAAATAAAATTGTTCTGTACTTCTTCAAAGTGCAGTTACATAAAGGAAATGCCAGGAGAAATCAAGCATTGTTTTCTACATCATTGCCTGCCCTCCCTCAAAGCTTGTGCGGGTGGTATCTCCTTATGGGTGAAGACCTTTCTGTGCCACCCAGGAAGGTAAGGGGTACAGGGGCTTAGTGAGATGGAACTTCCAGTCTCTTTGCCTGGGCCTTCATTTTCTATACGGTGTATCAATGTCAAAATTACTAATGGCTTGATGGTTGGGGGGAAAAAACATTTAGTTTGAGAATTTAGCCATATGAAAATTGACTATTCTTTGATTTTTTTTTTAATATAGGTTTTGATTTGTTTAATTTCATTTCTCCTCCATCCTTCCACATATAATGGACTTTCTTTGGGCATACATAGAATCATTAAAACAGGAGGAGACGTTAGGAATTATCTAGTTCAACCCCCTCATCTTATAGATTAGGAAAATGAGGCTCAGAAAGGTGATTTACCCAGTTTATTACAGGTAGTAAGTAGTAGAGCTAGCACTCTTTTCTTTTTCCAGAACACTGCCCTATTGTCAAAACCATGACCTCACATGTGGCAGTATCAGCAAAAGAATGCAGATGCTTTATTGAGGTTCAAAGCCTAGAAAAGTCTGTGTTGATAGTTAGTATTAATTAGGGGATAAATTATGAGACTGTGAAATTTTAACATTAAAAGAGACTTGTGGAGATCATATGGTTACTACATTTTACAAATGAGTTTACTGAGACCTAGAGAAGTCAATGACTTATCCAAAGTTACAGAACTGTTTAGTGACAGTCAAGATTAGAACCCAGATCTCTTGATTTGCAGGAGGGGCTCTTTCCACCCTGCCCAATTATAGTAAGTATTGCTATTTTTTGTTTCAGAAAATATTGAGAAAAGAATGGTCCAGAAGGAAAGGGAAAAGGAAGGGAACAAGTATTTTTGTGGCACCCACTGTGTGCTAGGCCCTGTGCTAAGCACTGTTTAGAGATATTAGTCTCCAACCTTTTGAGGTAGAGGTAGAGGCAGAGGCAAAGATAAGTTACTTGCCCAGGGTCACACAGTTTGGTCTGAGGCCAGATTTGAACTCAGGTCTTCTTGACTCCAGGCTCAGCACTCTGTCTCCTGCAATCCCACCTGCCTCTAATCACATGTCCAGAAGAGGTAACAAAAAGACTAGATTCAGTATCAAGGTCTAAGTCTGTGGCCCTAGCTCTCATGCTGGCACTGCTTGTAGCTTACAAGCTCTGTGACTTTGTGCCTCAGTTTCCTTTTCTGTAAAATGGAGGTGAAGTGCTTTGCAAGTGAAGTTTTTAAAAGGTAACCTAGAATCATAACACTCTGCAGGGCAGTGCCATCAATTTATTTCTTTAAATCTTACCAGAACTGTGGAATTGGGGCAATTGTTAATGTGGAAGGGAATGTAAAATTTGGCCTTTCTACCATTTCCATCTGTATGAAGTTTGAAATAACTTTTTTTTTTTCTTGGTGAGGCAGTTGGGGTTAAATGACTTGCCCAGAGTCACATAGCTGGTGATTGTTATATGTCCGAGGCTGGATTTGAACTCAGGTCCTCCTGACTCCAGGGCAGGTGCTTTATTCACTGCGCCACCTAGCTGCCCCCTACATAACTTTATAATGATTGAGTCAGAGCCTGCATATTTATGCTTAGTGATAGTATAAAAGAGAAGTGCCCATTAAGGTCCATCGAGGTCTGATGCATCAAGGTCCATGTTCTGCTGGAAGGAGCTTTGTATTAGGAGCCTGAACACCTGGTGCAAAGTCCTTGTTCTGTCCTGGTGACTCTGAACAAGTCACCTAACCAAGCTGTGCCTCAGCTTCCTCATCTGTAAGATGGGGGCAATATGGACCTTTGTTTGCTTACTTGGTAAAGTAACCACCAAGATCCCACTTAGGGGGGCCCCCCCAAACTCCTAAGTCCCTGTCTCTACTGTACATAGTACACTTCTGAGTGTATATCAGATCAGACACAGCATGCACTCCATGCAAGCAAGCTAGTACTTCAGAATTTGAACTTGGGGTACCGCAAAATAGAGAGAAAAAATGCAAAGCCAGTACAATGTGATACAGGATATATGGTATTAACTAAAATTTTAGTACCGAGATTTAACAAGAATTTCAAGAGCTGTTAGTGTAGCCATTAAAAACTGGTGTTAGCCTGCTTTCATGTAAATGGATTAATCTTTGACCTAGAGAAGGTTGCTCAGTTTCCCTAGGGTCATAGATTTAGATCTGGAAAGGGGCCTCAGAAGTCATGTAGTACAACTTTCTCGTGAAGAAACTGAGGCATCCGGCTTGGTGACGTGGCTTATCTTAGGTCACACAGGTGTTAAGTAGTAGAACTGGAATTTAAACCCAGGTCCTCTGACCCCAAACCCAGGGCACTTTCCATGGTGCCATACTTAATCTTTTGGCTTTTGGCAGTCCCCTTCTCTTGATTGATGAATGACTTAATAAATAGCTCCCCCTTCTTCCTTCCCTACTCCCTTCCCCCATTTGCATTTAGTCCTCTAGTGACTGAATGTGTACATGACAATAAGATTCATCACTGGTACCTGTCCTCTTAGTCTTTCTCAACATCCTCCTTCTTAACCAGAATTTAATAATTTTTAAAACCTCTCTGTTGTCTACATCTTTTGACCATTCTGGGTATTGCTTCAGTTTTCCTCATAGCAGCAAGAAACCTTGATGTTTCCAATCTCTTCAGCCGGGTATGGTTGTTGAAAAGGAGAAGCAAAGAAAAATCTGGAAGAGCTATTTCCATTTTTAAAAAAAGGGAAAAAATAGGGGTTGGGGGATAGGGCCAGGATTGAGATTGGGGAGGGAGGAGAATGAGAGAGAGAGAAATGTATGTACTTGGCATCCCAAAGGTTTTAGTGGAGTTTGAGCTTCTAATACCTTAAAACTACACTAAGACTTTTGGAAGATTCTCTGCTGTTGTATAACATTGTTAGTCCCTTACAAATATTCCTGTTTGGGGGAGCTAGGTGGCGCAGTGGATAGAGCACCGGCCCTGGATTCAGGAGGACCTGAGTTCAAATGCGACCTCAGACACATAACATTTACTAGCTGTGTGACCCTGGGCAAGTCACTTAACCCCATTGCCTAGCCAAAAAAAAACCCCAAATATTCCTGTTACATGTTACACAGAAGCAGCATAATGTGGAGAGAAGTGTGACCCTTTGCTGGCAGTTCATTTAACCTCTCAATGCCCCAGGTGACTTTCTTATGTCTTTAAGTTGAAAAATACTTGTTTATCTGCCCTGGTGGAGGGAACATCTTCATAGGGATTCCCTCTATCAATGAAATCATCACACGTCTAGACTCAAAAAACCCTTCTGTAGATCTCTGAAAGATTCTGCCTTAATTTGATGAGCAGTGTGGTAAACCATAAGCATCCTGGCCTCCAGGCACCCTCTCTCTTTCTCTTTATTTGTCAGTACACCCCAGCTAATCATTCACAGCCCACAAGAGGGAGGACAAAGGTTATTTCTCTCCTGGTACAGAAGATGAAGGAAATTTGTAGGCAGCCAGCTTTGCTTGTTTAAGAACTTGATTGTGAGTAAACTTCTTTTAGGAGATTACTTATTAAAGGCACACCCCTTTCTCACACTAAATCTTCAGTCTTCTAGACATTTTCAACATTTCCATTCTCCTTACTAGAATCACTTCCTAATGATTTGAAATATCAGAAGAGTGTAAGAGACAACTGAAAAACCTGCCTTCTCAGCTGGAGGGTCAGTAGACCTATGTGCTATTCTTGTCCTTGTACAGAACCATAGTATATTGTGACATCTCTTCAGGCATCTCCTTTGTGCACGACTGATCAGATCCTGTCAAAAGCTGGGAAATTACTTTGTTCCCCAGAGTGCCCATTGTGGCATTTTTTTATCCTCAGGATGTGAAATAAAGGAAGCCGTGCTGTCACAAGAGCCAGGAGCTCTTCAGCCCCAGGTGTGCACAAGGCCTCAATGGTTTTTCTGAGGTTACACTACCACAAACAAAAACTCAACCTATGGAAAGGACTGAATTCTGTCTCCTTTTCCCCACCCATAATTTACTGAGCATGTCTCAAAATGTGGTACTTTACTTTGTTGAGAATTCCATTTTGGCTTTGTAGAAATCTCTTCTAGTCTTTCTGAAACC